GCCACTTACAAAGCCACATCCTGGCTGCTTCTCCTGAATCAGTTGACAAGGTGAATGCCCGGAATTGGGTTTAGAGGTTGCTCAAACAAGGTCACCAAATTATTTCTGGAAGGACAAATTTTCTAAAAACAAAACCATTGTTTTCTAAAAGCAGCTCGCTGCCCCCTCTTCTAGCCCACGGCACATTCTAGCTCATTTCCTCTAGAGAATATTTATTTGTAAGCGGGAAGTGAATAGGTAGAGAGGTAACTATAAGCTGATGTAGCCAGAGAAAATGAGATCAGACTTTTATTAGGAGTGTGGTAGAAAACCAGCATTTCCGTAGAGCATTCTTCCTCACATTGCTATCCTTTAGAAGGGTTGGATGTAATGCCCATCAACTCCAACAGGCACTGACTAAGTACTCCAGAAGGTTCTTTGTGGAGTGGGTGAATGGATCGCCAAATGGAAAATGTGGTTAACTTTACGTAAGTGTAAAGTGATACTCATTCAGATAACCCCCCCTTAACTTCACACACACACTAATGGGATTGAGCTGTCTATAGCTACTTTGGGTTTGCAGTGGATGACTCAAGATGACCATTCAATGAGCAACAGCTGTAAAAAAGGTCAATTCCAGACTTGGGTTCATTAGGGAAAGGATTGAAAATGAGTGACAACATGTGTAATGCCCTTATACATATGTATCTGGAATAGCGGGTACAGTTCTGTGCACCACTTTTTAAAAAGGATGCAACTGAACTAGAAAAAGTACAGAATCAGGTGATTCAAACACATGCCTTATGAGAAAAGGGTGGGTTGTTTGGGACTCTTTAGCTTCAAAACAAGGTGACTGAAGAGATGATCGAGGCTTATTAAGTCATGGAAAAAATGGACAACCATTTCTCCCTCTCTCAGAAGACTAGGGTCCATCTAATGAAGCTGATTCAAAGGACAGTTAAAACAGAAAAAAGGACGCACTTCTTCCCAGTGCATTATTAACCTGTGGAATTCATTGCCATAAGACATAAGGTACGGTGATGACCACTAACTTGACTTTAAGAGGGGACTGAATGAATTCATGGAATACAGGTCTATCAGGGGCTGCTGCTACTGATTCAGTGTTTCCTCTGGGGTGGGGACAGCACGCCTCCAAATACCAGGGGGCAACAGCAAGACAGAGGTATCTGTCTCCTGCTTGCAAGCATCGCAGAAGCATCTGGTTGGCTATTGGGAGAAAGCAAATGCCGCCCTAAGATGGGCCCTGGCCTGATCCAGAGGACTATTCTACTGCTCTTACGACTGGGGAGGGTGGAAGGTGTGATCCACAACATCTAGACAGCAAGTGCTGGGGGAAGGAGGCAGCAGTGTATGGTAACTGTACTGTGAAATGTGACAGTCCTTAAAAATAGCCTCCGGTCTGATCATGCCTTTGTTCATAAAAAAATAACCCTCAACGAAATCATTGCTTAGAAACATGGAAGAAGCCTGTGAGGAAAGCAAAGCATGTAAGCCATCACTAACTCACCAGGTATGCCACGAAGGCTAAGTAGAGAATGCTGATAATTGAAGCACATATATACAACACTGTTTGTCCCAGGGCGGTTACATAGATCACCACAAAGTACATGTTAATGCCGCAGATGATCACAATGAGAATTCCCCCAGCAATTTTCCAGCCCCTAGAAGACAAAAAAAAAAAAAAAATTACAAGCAAAAGGAAACGGGTAGGGAATACCTACTTAGGACTAACTGTTGACAAATACAGTGTAATCGGTATAATTTTCCTCTGCTTATCAACCTGTTAAGCAGGGGTGAGAAATGGCAGTTAGCTGAGGGAGTGCAACTCACGTTTCCAGCCAGCTGGCAGGTTGCAGGAGGCCTTGTGGTGACATCAGTGGAAGGAACAAGGCCAAACATTTCAGCCTGTTTTTACAAACATGCAAAAATCCATACCCATCATGCTATACCCTTTCAGGGTCAGCAACACTAGGTAAAGTAAATTAAAAATGTAGTAAGTTTGTGTGTGTGTGTGTGTGTGTGTGTGTGAGAGAGAGAGAGAGAGAGAGGGAGAGAGAGGGAGAGAGAGCGCAAGCAGAAGAAGAAAGGAAAGCTAAATCCAGTTCACACCCATACAATTCCTTATGCTTCTCCGTAACATCCTATCCTTGCAAAATCTCTGCTTCCACAACATTCCTACACTGCATTATGAATTGCCTTTAGTTGTCCTTAAATGTCTCAGCTCTCTCTTTGTGAGGACCTCAACAATTCCATCCAACTTCCTTGGTCTTCCACTTCTTCTCTTTTACTCTTTTTTCACATATTTATTTTGTGATTTGACCCTTATCATCCTTTCCATAAGACCCAACCACCTCTTTGTACTTCCTTTGTACCAGTCACTGTGTTTGTATTTATTCAGTGCTCATACATTCTTGACCATAATCTCTTCTTGTTTTACCACATACACAATTTAAGTTCCTCATTTCCCACTGCATTTCAACTCTCCTGACATATCCAACTCTCACTTCCATACAGCAAAGTGGGCAAAAACAATAAATCTTCATTCTTTGCACCACATTACATATGTTGCTAAAAAAAACATTACCTTTCTACCAGCATTTGCATGTGTTAAAATTTCTTTAAACATTTCCCCATCTTTAAAAAATGTATACAAATTCAACTCTTTGCTTTGATTTTTCACCATTTAGGCATAACCTTTAATCATTCAGCCCATTTCCCGACAAACACAACTACCTTGGCCTTTGATACGTTCATTTTCTGGTCCATACTTCTCACAGAATATCACAATCTAAGTAACATTTGCTGCACATTATTTGGGTTTTCAGTCAACGCCATAGCCTTATCTGCATACAAAAGAACATGTGCATTCACATCCCCAACCAACACAGCTCTAGCATCGCACACCTCCTATATACACTTAACTGTAAATAAATTAAGCAATCAAGGGGACGTCACACATCCTTGTCTTACTCCTTGCTCAGTCTTGATCCACTGGTTGAGCATTCCATTTATTCTCATGCTAGTTTTACTTTCATGATATACTGCTCTTACTGCATTCAGCAATAGCCTTCATATCTGCACAAATAATTCATGCCTATTCATTTTATCATTTGCTTTCTCTAAATCAGCAAATGTATAATAAACTTGCTTCTCACCTTTTTAAATGACTTGTTGAAGAGCAAAAATTTGATCTCTACCTTTCCTATCATATCCTATACAGGTAGTCCTCAACTTACGACCATTCAAGCAACTGTTTGAAGTTATGATGGTGCTGAACAAATGGAGCTTATGACTGGTCCTCGGAGTTATGGCCATCCCAGCACCCCCATGGTCACATGATCATGATCTGGGTGCTTGGCAACCCACTTGCATTTACAACTGGTTGCCAAGCACCCCATGATCACGATTGCCATCTGCAACCTTCCCTGCCGGCTTCCCCAGAAAGTCAATGGGGAAGCCAGCAGGGAAAGTAGCAAGTCACTGGGATAAGTCTTCCCCACCCACGCACCCTCTCCAGCCCCTCTGCACTCACGCTGGCCACTCACACACCCCTGCATACCTTCCCCATCCGCACCGCACCCCCATGCACCCTCCCCAACCCGTGCAGCACCTCTCACACACTGCTGCATACACTCTCCAACCCATGCAGCACCTCTCACACAACCTCCCCAACCTGCGTGGTGCCTCTTGCACACTGCTGTGCACTCAACCTGGACAGCACTTCTTGCGCAACCCCGTGCACCCTCCCTGACTCGCACAGCACCTCTTGTGCACCACAGCACAACCTCCCTGACCCACACGGCACCTCTCAAGCATCCCCTCACACCCTCGTGCACCCTCCCCGACTCTCCCCTGCACCCCCATGCATCCCTCACTCCCTCCCCCACCTGGCAGCAGCCACTTACCTGCCTGCCAGCCTGGGACTTGCAACTTCCTGCTGACTTCCCCACTGACTTTGGTTGTGTGAAGCCGGCAGGAAGTTGCCTCATCTAAGGACTGTGGGATTCAGTTAATGACAACTGGAGCTGCAGGGATTGCTGTTGCTAAACAATGTGGTCATACTTTATGACTGCATCGCTTAGTGACAGAAATTCAGGTCCCAATTCTCGTTGTAAGTCAGGACTACCTGTACCCTTTCAAGTCAGAATCCTGCCAAGCCCCTGCCACAGAATTCTGTTCAACAAATTAATCCCTGTATAATTTTGCCGTCACTTGTTTGGAAAACAAGATACAACCCCCACATTCTTCCAAACCTCAGGCACAGATGCAGTCCTCACACATGGTAAAGAAGTTGCACAGCCACATGGGATTTCACCTCCCAGAAGTCTTGCACTCCCATTTTTAGCTGAATTTTACAAAATAAACACACAATAAATAAAACTGCTGAAATCAGTCCTTTGTTGATTTTTTAAGAATTGGAACTGATTTTTAATTAAAAAAACAACTTAGACGTTTATGGATTAATCACCAAATAACATAGAAGTCTATGGGTTGAAACTCTGCAATACTTACAGTGGGAAATTAATACAACCTTTGGCAAAAGAATGAGCAAAACTCATTCTTTTGCATGAGAAATGCAAAATTGCTTTCTTTCTATATATTAGGCACGAGACCATAAGGTTCGGATCCAAAGCTTTCTTCTGTTACTGAAAGGCACTGTGACCCCTTAAGATGTTTATGTAGCGAATCCAGAAGTCCTTCATATGCCAATTGCCAATCTGCAACAAGGCAGAAATCTAGATCCAGGTGCAGATTCAGGATAATATTTCAAAAGCAAGAAGCATTCATGTGCAGATTTTGCCTTAGTGTATGATCTGCTAGTCTAAATCCTTCTTTTCAAAACCTAATTGCAAATTAATAGGTTCTGGTGTTCATGTTAGTCAATCTATAATGGGCTGTGAAAATAACCTTGAGGAACAGGAGGAAAAGCAGCAGCCAAAGCCATGGTCAGATAAGAGAAATCTGAGCGCAAAGCAGGAATGTAATTTGAGAAAACATCTCAGATTTGACCCTCCCTAGTTCACTTTAGGATAAAGGGGAGGCACTTTCAGAGTTGCAAAATTCTGTTACTGTAACCCTGTAATAAAAGTAATTTTAGTATTCACAACTTTGGTGTTCAAGCCTGGCCTACCTCGAAGGGCTGACAGTGTGTTAAAAATATATGTAGTCATCATGTGTAAAGCAGGCCATGCTGTTATGTGGTAATAATGAAAAAAAAAAATCAGATGTGTGTCTTAAGGAAACAGGTAAGCTTAATCAAGTATAAAACATTCCAGATTTGGCGCGCACACGTGCCTTTCTTCATACTTACAGGCCATTGGCAAAGTCATTCATCACTGGGCGCAGACTAGTGAACGTGAGCACTGGGATTAAAGCAAAAGGTAGCTGGAAAGGAAGAAAAGGAAATTATGCTCAGAAAGGGGTCTTTTTGTTGTTTGCGTGCAAAGGAAAAGCTGGTTTAGTAATGAGTTGGTAATGCAGGAAGTTGGGAGCAGTTCCAAAACACGACTATTCACTCCAAACTTTTTCTCCCATTAGCTGCTGAACACTTTTCAAGGCTGAATATATCATTTTCTAACAAGTGAACAGCAGAAGGGCTGTTGTTCCCCATAAAACTTGATGGCTGAATACAGGCGACAGTGGCAATAAGGTTTGATGCAGCTGGCACTCAAGTGTGGACCATCCATCCCATAGTGAGGACACGTTCTGATTTCTTTGCTCTTTAGCTCTTGCAAGGTTAACACATCAACTCAGACCCTTCTGCCATGCTTTTCTGACCTCAGACAAGGGGGAACAGAAGAGGAGGAAAGAGAAATAACACCAGCATTGCTCAGTTTCCAGTTAGACAGGTAGTTCAACATAGCAACTTGGAAAGAAGGCAGGACTGGATCTAACCGTTTTGAAGTTACAGGAGAGTAAATTTTGTTTAATATTAGGAAAAACATTTAGCAATCAGAGCAGTATAACTCCAGTCTGGTAAGATTAGCACTTTCCAATCAGCCAATTAGTGGTCTCTCTCCCTTGCCCCCAGACTTCCGGGGAGTATCTTGGGAATGGCTCTAGCTCTGGATTTTGAGCATGAAGCAGAGGCACAGTATGAGGCCCCTTTCAATTGTATGCTTCTACACGCACAGAAAGGAGGACATCAAAGCAGAGACTGAATAATGAAGTGAGAGTATTAAGTAGCTTCAAAATTATAAGCAGGGAAGGCTTCCTACTGGGAAATAAACATGTGAGAAAATTGCAAGAGGAAAGGAAGATCGCCAGATTGCCGTAGTTATGGTTTATTGCCTTAGTAAAGGCAGGCAGAAAAGCAGAAATTCAAATGGAATGATTCACAAGATCTAGCTTTGATTTGGCACCACGGAAATAGGCATTAGGCTGTTTGCAGACCTTGTTCCATCATAGGACATCTGATCTCTTATGATTAGTGCTGATAATTTCCAAACCAATGAAAAAGACATTTCCACTTGCGGTTAATATACAGTATGCTTAAGGAGGGCTCAGGTATTCTTGATTCATCAAATTTAATTAGTGTATCAAGAATTAACTGCATTCTCACTGATTTATTAGTTTCATTTGAACAAAACTCCTCTTCTTAATAGAACAACAGCTACAATAGAATATTCTCATTGTAGCATGCAAGGCTGCATTCAGGAGTTATGGAATCAGCACAGCCCAATTCTAGCCATTCTTGTTTTGTGTTTTTCCACGCCGTTCTTCAGGTCTAGTCTGCAAGAAGTGGCAGCAGTCCCTGGGCAAAAGCCTTCCTTGTCCACAAAATGATAGAATGATCTCTCCGCTTCACAGAATGTAGCTCTGATGTAAACAAAATTAACATGAGATGGATTCTCTAAGGCAGTATTTCTCAACCTCGGCAACTTTGTGGACTTCAACTCCCATGCTGCATGCTGGGTGGTGAATTCTGGGAGCTGAAGTCCACAAATCTTAAAATTGCCTAGGTTGAGAAATACTGCTCTAGGGACCCAAGTCCCTTCCAACTATGATCCCAAGAAAACAGAACCATACTCCTAGATAAGCTTAGGTAAGATTTCTAATGTAATTCTGGAGAGAAAAGATGAGAGCTAAAGAAAGCCAGGAAAAATATCCCATTATGGGCCATCACAAGACTTTAATCCTTGAGTGAATAAAACTAGGATGCTTGGAAATTTTTCAGTAAAATTGTTTTGGTGAGCCATTCATTTTAAATAAGGTTTCTGTTGCTGTTTCTAATGTCAATAAATGTACTTATTCACTCATTCCTTGCTTTTATGAAGGAAATCGATGAGGCTGGTATTGTTAAACTGTCTCAGTGTGACTGCATTTGCTTGCCAAACATCCCATATTGGATTGACAGTAGTAGTAATGTTTTTTTTTTAATAATGATTTTTGCAAATCATGGTACTAGATCTAGAATCTGCCTTGTTGCCCAGATGCACTTCTACGATTGTTTTTTGGGGAGGCCTAATCAGAGTCCCTACCTGTAAACTCATGAGAACATTGAGGAAGTCATTCATGCCAGTCAGGTGTTCCACATCTTTGAAAATGGCAACCAGAAGAGTTGGAGTAATGGCAATGGAGCGGGTTAGAACCACGCGAGCAAACCGCGACCACTTCAGATTGAGGAATCCCTGAAAATCAGGAAGAGATAACCATTCAGAGATACAGCATACTGAAACACTGAAGAAAAGCAGTATTCTGCTGCGGCAGAAACACATACTCTCTTACTTTCTGCAGTCCTCGCCTAACAACTGTTCGCTTAGTGACCATTCAAAGTTATGACAGCACAAAAAAGTGACTTATGACCAGTGCCCGAAGTTATGACTGTTGCAGTGCCCCTGCAGTCACATAATCACGATCCAGGCACTTGTTAACCAGCTCACACTTATAATGGTTGCAGCATCCTGAGGTCATGTGATCGCCATTTGCGACCTTCCCAGCCAGCTTCCGGCAAACAAAATCAATGGGGAACAATGGGGATTCACTCAATAATTGCATGATTCACTTAACAACCACAGTGATTTGCTTAATGACCGCTGCAAAAAGGTTGTAAAATCGAGTTCAGTCACACAATGCTTCGCTTAACGACTGCATCGCTTAGCAACCTAAATTCCAGTCCCAATTGTGGTCATTAAGTGAGGACTACCTATATTTGCAGTTGTCAAATGAATTAGGTTGAGAGCATAAACCATACTGTTGTGCAACACTTAAGAGCTCTCTGAAGTTTCTGGGCAATCTTGGGAAAAGATACAGCTGCTACGTTTGCAACCTTTCTGGAATCAAATCCAAAGCATAGCTTATTCTAAACAACGTTGGGTTATGTAATTACGCCTCACTGCAAAATAACATGTACAGAAAAAAACATGAGAGCTAGGGATGTGCAAAATCCTCCAATTCAGGAACTGAATGTTCTGGAGAACTTTGGAATGCTTCTTTCCATATTATGCTCAATCTCCTCCTGGACCATTCCCTCCTGGAGGCAGTTTGATAGTTTCCAGAAGTACATCCTCCAAACTAGAGCAGTTGATCTGGTCCTGAAACAGATCCACTTCATCCAAAACAGCTTCCAGTTCTGAGGATTTCCTTCTGGCAACCACCAAACTGCCCCCGGAATAGCATTATGTGGGAACAGTTTGATCCTGTTGGACCTGAGGAAGTGGACAGGGTCCTCCAGGCTGTAAATGCCACTACCTGTCAATTAGATCCATGCCCCTCCTGGCTGGTTAAGGCAGCTCAGGAGGTGACGTGTGGGTGAGTCCAGACAATGGTGAATTCATTCTTGAGGGAGGGAGTGTTTCCAGCGGCCTTTAAAGAGGCACTGGAAAACCCCTCCTCAAGAAACCATCACTGGATCCCACCATACTGGACAATTTTCATCCAGTCTCCCACCTCCCCTTTTTAGGAAAGGTGGTTGAGAAAGTGGTGGCATTGCAACTCCAGAGGTTCCTGGATGAAACGGATTGGGATGGATGATCTCTGGCGGGAGCGGGATGGGGGTAGTACATCCATCCTTGCTGTTCTTGACCTCTCAGCGGCTTTCAATACCATCAACTGGACATGACTTAGGGAGTTGGGGTTGGGTGGCACAGTCTTGTGCTGGTTCATCTCCTTCCTCCAGGGCCGGTCCCAGTCGGTGTTGACAGGGAGTGAGAGGTCCAGCTTGCGACCCTGCCTTTGTGGGGTGCCGCAGGATTTGGTACTCTCCCCACTCCTTTTTAACATCTACACGAAACCACTGGGTGAAATCATCTGCCACCATGGAATGAGGTTATCATCAATATGCAGATGATACCCAGTTATACATCTCTATCCCAGGTGACTTGAATAATGCCATGACTACCCTTTCGCAGTGCCTGGAGGCTGTGAAGGTCTGGATGTTGAACAACAGGCTTCAGCTGAACCCTGGTAAGACAGAGTGGCTGTGGGTTGGGGACTCCTCTGTAACCGGAAGTTTACCATCTTTGGTTCTGGATGGGGTGGCACTACCCCAGACAGACCCGGTACGTAATCTGGGTGTCCTCCTGGACTCACGACTCCTGCTTGAAGAGCAGGTGGCAGTCGTGACCAGGAGGGCCTTTACTCAACTATATGTTGCGCACCAGTTATGCCCCTTCGTGGATTGGGAGGCCCTCCAGTCACTCATTCATGCCCTAGTCATCTCCCGTATAGACTATTGCAATGCGCTTTACATGGGTCTACCCTTGAAGAGTACCCAGAAGCTACAGCTGGTTCAAATGCAGCCACGTGGGCAATTTTGGGTGCCCCAAAGATGGCACATGTCACACCTTTGCTGTGCGAGCTGCATTGGGTCCCAGTTTGTTTCCAGGTCCAATTTAAGGTGTTAGTTATCACCTCTAAAGCCCTACATGGCATGGGACCGGGTTATCTGAGGGACCGTCTTACCCCCGTTATATCGACCCGTCCCACCTGGTCAAGCAGAGAGGGTATGCTGCGGACCCTGTCGACAAACGAATGTCGACTGGTGGGGCCCAAAAGGAGAGCCTTCTCTGCTGTAGCCGCCACCCTATGGAATACCCTTCCCCCAGAGGTGAGACAGGCCCCTACACTCTTGACCTTCCAGAAAGCAATCAAGACCTGGCTCTGCCAACTTGCGTGGGGCGAGAAAAGGGGCAACCAACCCTGGGGGTGGCTAGCACCTTGAAGATGCTCCCATATGTAACTATCTTTTCGATCACCAGCACCTTGGAAGATATTATAATTTATATATGTACTTGGTTTTATTGCATTTTTATATTATTTTTATTGCATTTTAATTAATATTTATTTATTGTTTTTATTGTAAACTGCCCAGAGTCACTTCCTCATGAGATGGGTGGTGTCCAAATTTGAAATATAAATAAATAAATAAATAAAAATGATCTGGGAGGGGGGTTGGCAGAAGGAAGAGGAATATTTCAGAGTTCTCCAGAATGTTCTATTTCCAGATTGACAATTTTTGCAGATCCCTAATAAGAATCATGATTCATCAGCAGTCGGCAAGTTGGGGACAAATGAAGTTACTGAACTTGCATCCACAGTAACAAACTCTAGAGAATCAACCCTGCCTTCTGTCCAATGGCAAATCTACCCAGATCCCTTTATAGATACTGCCTAACCCTAACTTTTTTTGGTTTTTTGTTTTTTTCTCATGAGGAAACCTGTCCTTAAAAAAATATCAAAGATATCAAAGACTTTACATCAAAGCCCAGATGGTGTACTTGACCACTCATCAGTGGCTTGACCAAGTCATAAGGAATGTTAGCTGTCTCTGACCTGTTCCAACCTAACAATAATGGAAATTCAGGATTGTAGGAAGTTGTCTTCTTCTGACTCAGGCCTTTGGTCCATCTGAGGATTGTCAGCGCTGACAGGCAGCAGCTTTTTGAGATTTTAGCATGACATTTTTTCCCAGCCTTACCTGCATGGGCTGCTGATGAGACCTTCTACACTCAAAACAGCTCTATTACTAAGTATGGCCCCTCCTCATTTGTAAGTACCCAATTTATTCTGTTTTAATTATGGAAATTCTTTGCAAAGTTAATTCCAAATTAGTTAATTTAATTACAGAAACCAAAGCAGAAAGTTTGCTTTGGATTGACAATTGTTAGATGGGCATGTGTGACCAGAGGATAAGCAAGCACAGCACCCAGGGAAATGGTAGGTTGAAGTCTTTGGGGAGTCCTATGAGCAACCCAGTTTATACAAAGGCAACCAGACTCTGAATGCTAGCCTAATTGGTGCCATAAGGAGAACACCTGAATGGCATTTCATCAACAGGTTAGGGTTAGCTGGTATTTTACATAGCATGGTGTTCTTTCCTTGCCTGAAAAGATCTCCCTCATCCAGCCCCATATCCCAGATATAGGGCTGAGTAGTGCTTTGGATTCCATTTCTAAAACGTTCTTCTGAGCGCATGGGAACGTAGAGGTGGCATCTGTGTGCAATCCCTTAAAGCAGCTGCATCTTCTTCCAGTATTGGACAACTAGCTTTTGAAGGAACTGCAGACAGATGCTACCTCCACAGTCCAACACACTCTGAAGCCTCTTTTAGAAACCCAACCCTAAGCTCTGCAGCTCTAACAGATATGCTCCCAATCCTTCTGAAGTCTCTCACCTCCATTTCTTTGTTTCAGTTTAACAATGATGGTTTTCAGTGTCAATGGGTAGCTGTATACAAATTTGTTTACAAAACAAGGCACCACAACAATCACACAGGGAGGACAAATATGCCCATCTCAGAGGGGAAAATGTCAGCATGCAACTTTTCCCACAAAGGAAACGCCCATGCCACCCGACTCCCAGATACCTGGCTGTGGCATCTGGGAACTGAGCCATTTGGACAACATCCTTACATTACTATGGAGTGGGAAGACAAGTCCTGCTGACAAATGTGAATCAATAATACTTTAAAAGATTAAAATACCTCCATCACGAACTGTCCAGAATAAGTTCCTGTCATTGTTGAACTCTGTCCTGCAGCAAGAATGCCAATAGCCCAGATGTAGAGAGCAGCAGGGCCAAAGTAACAACCTAGAATTACTCCCTAAAACACAAAAGAGTTCTTTTAAAAAATGAAGCTGTAAATCTTAGATTAAACCTTCTATGTCAGTAGTCTAACGCAAAGTGACATTTTGTGAAAATCACTGTTTGGATTAGCAAGGGCCAATTTACTCAGAGAGAATTGAATCTGAATGCTACAGTTACTGTATGCATGCTTATTTTTCCACCATGGCCAAGAAGAACACTTTGCTCATAAACCCATCCCAGACAATGGGCGTGCACTGCTCCTCTGGATGGAAAATGTAACAAAACAACCTGATTACAGTATGGCCTTTTGCAGAATATGAACAATGATATGGAGAGAAGGCTGACAAGTACCTTATATTGAAAAATATTTTCTTAATCTTGAGAGATATATCCAGAAAGCAAATAATTATGAAAGTGCTAATACTGCTACCAAAACATCTGGAGCCACTTTACTTTGTAGATGGTGGTTGCCTGATAGAACTTCTATCCGGTTCAGCTGCTTTGGTATTTTGAGTGCTAAAGAAGGCAGAACTGGATGGGTTTATAGTCTTTTCATAGACTTGTTTCATCTTCCCACTTACTCTGCTGTCAGCCCCTCCACTCCCAGCACAGCACAGTCAGTTCAAGGGTGGACCAGAAAGTCCCATCAGCCCTGCCAAACAGGGCCAGTGATGAAGGACACTGGGAAATGAAATCAATCAGCACTGCCCATCTTTGAATTAGTTGGTAAATGTACTTTTTCTGCAGACTAATCCACCTGAATTTGTCCTCCTCCGAATATAAAGTTTTAGAAGTTTAGAAGTTTTAGAAATGTCTTTAGGATTTTCAAAGGCTGATTCAGAGATTCAAGAGTTTTAAGTTTGGATCTTTTAACTTTTGCTAAATTGAACACATAAAACTTTTCACTCACCCCTTTATAGATATCCACATCCAGGGTGTCATTATTTGATTGAAACAGCGCAGCTTGAGCAAAGCTTTTATTTGTACAGATGTCATGCTGTAAACATACAAGTAGACATTTTGTTCTACAACTAAGAGATCCATGGAGCGCAAAACTGTTTTAAAAGGAGAACAACAAAGGACAATTCTGGTTTACCATGACCTCTCCCTCCGGTAACAAATATGGAGATGTATTATGGGGGGGGGGGTTCTTTGGGGTGACAACATGCCACAGCATATGGACCTGTTCAGAATTATCTGCAGCAATAACATAATGAATTGGTAACTGCTAGCGTTGAAGGAAGCTTAGAGGCTGTCCTTCCACCATAGCCTAAAGCTCCTTTATTCTTTCACTGCTCTTGAAACACCAGCCCAAGCAAAAAGGGAAGATGACAGGTACTAACATCCAAGCAAGGGGAAAGGAGAGACAAAGAGCATTAAATGGATGACATTTTTTCCACCCTAAAATTTTACTGCTGTGTATTTCTGGTAAAAATAAAAAGCCTATCTTGGTTATATGGAGCTGATAACCCAGTAGCCTTGTATCACCCCTAGCAGTACTTTCCACGGTTGCTTCTAGAGCAGAGGAGGAGGAGCTGAGGTTCTCCTGATGCTTCACATACCAGTCTCTCAATCACGCAGAAACGTAAGAGTCTACACACAACTCCTCTTCCTCTTTTAAACCAGAAGCACAAACAAGCTGAAGAAGGAAACAGGATGTAGATGATGTAAGGGAAAGGAATAACTACATTGGAAAGAGAGACAAAATGGGGAACAAAGCTGGATGGAAGGGGAGGGGAGCAGTAACTAAACAGGAAAGGAAAGGATGACATAAGAAATTGGCGAGTACATTAACTTGTATGATTTGGTCATGTCTATTTTTGGTTATTTCTGGAAAAACAGCATACCTATAGAAGTGGTTGTGTGGGGAAATGTTTTCAAAGGTATCAATGCTATTTTGAATTATATTCCAAAATTGGGGAATCTGAACATTTTTTAAGAATATTGTTTATATCAGGCATGGGGAATAGCTAAAAGAATTATACTGAGAGATTGGGAAAGTACTATTATACTGGATATCAAACACTGGATTCAAGAAATGTGTAATTTATCTTTGAAAAGGCTGTTTTTTCTACTAATCAAAAAATGATACAGTACGTTTCCCTTTCGCATAAACTCTATTATATTTTACAAAAATAGACAATTTTTATGCATAATTTGATTATGTGATTAAATGAATATGTGATAGATTAGTTATATCAATTTAGTGTGTTAATTTTTTCTGTTTATCTATTTAATTTTATTTTTTCTTTACTTGTTTTGATATTGCAATTTCTTAACTAATTCATTGCTGGATACAGGTAGTCCTCAGGTTACGCTGGGAACTGGGACTGGAATTGCCATCGCTAAGTGACAGTCGTAAAGCATGACATCATGTGACCACATCACTTAGCAATGGCAGTTCCAGTAGTCCTGGTTGCCATCGTTAAGTGAGGACTACACGGGCCATTAAGCAAGGACCTCATGTGACTGTGACTTCCACTTTCCTGCCAGCTTTCCCCATTGACTTTACTTGTGGGAAGCTGGCAGGGAAGATCGGAAATCACAATCACATGACCACAGGACACTGTGAAGGCCAGAATTCTGAGGACCCGTTGTAAGTTCCCTTTGTTCAGCGCCGTCACAAGTCTGAATGGTCACTGAACAAGTGGTCGTAACCCAAGGACTACCTGTATTACTGTTTTTCTTTTAATTTGGTTTTCTTTATTGTTTTCTCTGTATTTCTTTTTTAAAAATTGCAACAAAAAATTAAGCAAGGAATTCTTTAGTATTTAAAACTATCCTTGCAATCCACAGACAATTATTTGGGAAATATATTATTGGGAGTATTTATTGCCTACTAATATAACGTGATGGAAGAAAGGAAGAAACTTACCACTTCTTGGTTTGTCTTTTTATAAAAAGCTTCTGCAAAGACCGAAACAACAAAGACATTGATGATGAAAGAGACAAAGAGGGCAATGCAGGACTCAATGAAGAAATACTTGTTGGCCTCAGTAATTTCCTTCTTTTTGGCCCGGTTCACCTGTCGAGACTAAACAGAAAAATTCGATTCACACAGCCAGCAAAATGCAGCTTCCTTGAAACATGGCCTTTTCTCCTCCAACTTCTACTACCTTTAGAAGCAAATCCAAATTAATGATGCTTGTGGAACCTTTACTGTATAGGGAGTCATTTTAAGGAGACTTGGGGTTCCTTTTTGCTACTCCCAGTGCTCTTCATGGGCTGGAAATTCTGAAGGGAAACCCTCTCATAGAATTTCCAGCTGTGGTGAAAGCACAGCTTTTGTCCAAGAAGAAACAAGAGCATGCATGTTGTCTGGTATGTGATTTCACTATGGCATTTGAGAGAGAAGGCCTGGGGGAAAATGGCTTCCATGAGAAAAACCGCACTTACCTTGACCAAAGCAGAATGCAGGTACATGTTGTGAGGCATGATGACAGCACCTACGATCCCAACAGCTTGCTCTAGCTGGGCAGGCCCACAGCCCTCACAATAAGGCATAAACATCCCTTTCAGCAGCTGGCCCTGGTTTGGCTTTACGGTTATATACTGCAGAAGACACACGGGACAGGTGTCAATGCAACAAGAAAAGACATTGGCATTAGCGCTGTCCTTGGCAAACCACAGAGTCCCATTCTAAAAGACCTCCCAGATGTAGGGGTATAGAGTTTTGCCCAAAATGCTTTTTTGGTTTAGGGGGAGTATTTTGCCCAAAAAGACAGGAAAAGGCTTATGAGATATTCAAAAGCTGCAGTGTTCATTTTAAAGATCTATATATACAAAGGCAGTGTTACCTCATATCCAAACGTGATGGCCATAATAGTAATGAGGAGGCCAAAAAGTGCTTCCAGTTTCCTCAAGCCTGAAAGAGACACACAACAACTATTAACAGGAATAAGGTTAATGTTTTTAGCCAGAGGGAAAAACATTCTGAGTCCACCGAATAATCACAATGGAATACATACGTTCATACATATCATACATCTATTACAGTTGTATTCTTGGGATATAATTAGATTAGCAGGTAAAATGCACCCTAACTCAGCACTTCAGACCATTATATCCTGTTCCACCAGGATAGACACAGCGTTATCTCATAAATGTAAAGCCCCTTTGAATCAAGATGAACTCCTAGTGATTTCACTGATATATTCAAGCCATTTCTGGACACCAGTGGAGGAGGAGTTTGCCACTGCCTTTGTCTAGGGTGTCTTTTTCAACTTTCTGGTTTAGTCTACTGTCCTGGAATTGCTAACCATGTACTAAGTAGGACCAATCCTACTTTTTGAGCCCAGGCAAGGCCAATTTGGTGTTATCACCAGTTGAGATATTTTATTGCACTCCTGGGAAAAATCCACACCAGTGGATGAGTGCTAAGCCTTCCAAGAATTTTATTTATTTGTATTTATTTACTTACACACACACACACACACACACACACACCCCTACATACACACCCCTATGAAGCAGAAGCACAGGAGGGAAACCCCCCACCTCCTTTACCATGGGAAAGAAAACTCCAGAAGAGCAGGA